CCAAGGCCGTGGCGGGTGCCAGGGCCGTGCTGGGTGCCTGCTAGGTGCAATAGCATGGTGGGGACAGCATGGCCATGGGGCAGCTGCGAGGTCCCTTCGTCAGGGCCTGTGCGCTTGGCCATGTGTGGGTGGCGAAACCCCATCTCACACCAGGCGGGTCGGAGGATGGTTTTGCCGCAGTGGCTTGCCGGCTTTCAGAGGAGGAAGCAGGCTGCGTGAATTGCTTCTTTGTGGCCTTGAAGGCATTTCCAGAGCGGACATCTCCGGGGGCTTTACAAGTTGCAGATCCCTCACTCCTGTCACACTGTAATGACCACCCACGCTTTTAGCTCGGCAGCGTGCAGTGCAGACACACACGGGCAGAGTTTCCCCAGATGAGAACCCACCGTGGTACAGCTCGCACACAGCACCGGCCCCCTAAAGACAATTTGCCATTTCTGCAGACATGAAAGCTTTGTTAGTCTGTGCAGTGGAAACCGATGGCTGTGACCAGAAAACCCATTACCACAAAGGTATTCAATCAGGAAGGGAGAATGCAGTCCTCGCCTCTCTCTGCCTCAGAGTTTTGCGGCATAGGTTGCTCAGCCTCTCTTGTCCACAAAAAGCAGGTAAAAGCGGCTTCTTGGCAAACCAGACTGCAGGCTCCTTGGGGCAGAGACTGTGCTTTTAGCTGTGGTTGGAGCCTGTCACGGTTGGGCAGGGACACCTTCCACTAGACCAGGTTGCTCAAAGCCTCGTCCAGCCTGGCCTTGAAGACGGCTGACGATGGGGCACCCACAGCACACCCAGCCAAGCACAGGGCCCAACTATGACAGGGGGTAGGAACTAGATGACCTTTAAGGTCCCTTCCAACCCAAACCATTCTATGATTCAGCCAGGAAAGAGTTAAATCTCTTTACGGTGGTTGCTAGGAAGCAAACACCAAGGGAACACAAAAATAATAATAAACTGCCTGAAAAAAATCAGGATTGTGTGAAGTCACATTAGTTCTAAGAGTTACTACGTATGTATAAAACTTTTTACTCCATATGAGTGCTCTATTTTTGACAGGTTACAGGATCGTGACCACCACTGTTTATTTTACAGCTCAGCCTCGGACCAGATAAAATGGTAATAGACCTCACGGATCCAAATCGCCCCCGGTTCACATTACAGGAGCTGCGAGATGTATTGCAAGAGCGTAACCAGCTGAAAGCTCAGCTTCTTGTGGTGCAAGAGGAGCTGCAGTGCTACAAGAGGTACATTGTGAAGTCAGCAAGGAACTAGCAAGAACTACTTCTTGTCTGGGCAGCTTAGCAGATCAGAGTATTGGTTGGATCACTGAGGCTGGGCTAGGCAATGCCTGACACAGAGGAGACATCTGTGCTCTCAAGAGCTGACAGATGAGCAAGGGAAAAAGGGGAAATGGTGAAGTCTCTGTGCACCGTAATTTTAAAACTGCACTCCCTGTGGCTCTGCACAGTTGGCAGCCTGTTCCCGTAACCATACTGCCGTAAGCCTACATACAGTTAGTCCCACTCGGTGTACAAGCTGGGTGCTCAGGCAGATGGACTGTGAAGTCCCAGCAGCTGCACACGTACTGTTCTTGTCTAAAGTCTCGCTACATACCAAAGAGCACAGGGGTTCCCATCTCGGCTTTACTCAAAATTGCCTTCCTCCTCCAGCTTGCCGTCGGGGACGCTGGTTTATCTACTGTTCCTTTGCTCCCACAGCGGGTGTGGCATTGATCTAGAAAGCAGAATATTAAGCCGTTTCATCATCTTTCAAGTTAAACTCTGGATTATTTTAAGACTGTCAACAGAGGGTTGTGTAAGGCACTTGAACTGTGCAAAACAGGTGTTTCCGAGAAGGATTTTGGTAGAAGGGACCAGCCTGGGAGAATCAGAGTGAGCCAAAGGGTGGGATGCAGGAGGGGTTTTGCTCTTGGTGCTACACATCCTTCTCCAAGGCTGCTCTCCCCCAGCCTCTGCCCCTCAGCATCAAGTTGTATTATAAACTCTTTGGGGCAAGAAGCTGCTGCTTAATCGAGACACAGAATGTCTGAGCACAACAGATTTCAGCTGAGATCTCTCAGCGACAGCCTCTTGGGTACAGCGAGCCCACCCTTTGCCTTGTCTGGGGCAGGCAGGTTAAGCCGAGAAGTTAAGTCCAGGAAGTCGGGTTACGAACCGGTGGGCAGCACTTCTCGGAGCAGAGCGAGGCACCGCTTCCCCAGCTCAGCCCCTGCCTTCGCTGCACAGCCCCTGGAATGGCTGCGTGCTTTCACTTCCCAGCTGCGCTACACAGCTCATTACAGGCGAGTTAACAATTAACAGTGTGAATGTTTGCAGTTTTTGAGGGGTTTAAGTCACGGTGCCGTGCACCCAGAGAGTGGGGCAAGGCTGCTTTTCAGTTCAAGTAGTTCTATGTGGTTATTTCCTTGTGCAGTATTACAGCTTAATCAAAACACACCTTCCCTTTAAACATTTACCTAAAATCCTCATTATAATTGTATGGGCACAGAGTAGTTGTGCAGGGGAAGACGATAAATCTCTGTTCTAAAACGTCTTGCGTATACTGGAAATAAGCTCTGTGTAGCACAAGGTATACTCAGAGAGCATACTCAAGAGAGAATGGCTTAAAGTGACTGACAGTGTCTGGGGATTGCATTTTCAGTCATCATTTCTGGGTAGAAGTTATCGTGCAGGTATTGGAGATCAGCAGTATCACCAAACAGCTCACAGTCCCCTATCTCTGAGAGGAGAATCTGCCTCAGAACTACACCATGCCTGATGTCACACCAGTTTCCAGATCCCCCCTGTATTTCTCTTTCCAAGGCCCAGACGAGGGTTACTTAGCTCCTTTCAGCCTTCAGCTACTGCAGTCACAAGCTCTGATCCACTCAGCTCTCAAGATAAACGAGGTCAGCTCAGGAGAGTAACTTGGCACGCTGTGAAAACAGCGTAGCGTGCAAGCTGGCAAAATCTAACTCAATTCCAGGCAGGGGAAACATCCTTTTGTAAAACTGAAGCTTTTGCCTGAAGTAGGCAGTTACAACCCTGTAGAGTGTAGCTGCATCAAAGCAGGATGACAAAATCTGCAGCTCAGGCCAAGCTTTTTTTAATCCTGTATAGGATGGAAAGAGGAACAGTCACCTGCCTGGCAGGGAAACGGAATCTCCCATCTGTTCCCAGCTGCATGGTGCGAGGCTTTGCGGCTGCGCTGAAGGTACCACAGATCCACCCATCTAGAAATTCACCATTTGTGTCTGCACCCTACTGTTGCCTTTGGACTCTTGTACAAATCCAATTACACTTCCCGTTCACTCCTGTTACGATCTGCCTTCTCTGTGGAGAAGTCGGCTCGTTACTTTCTGAGTGTTCTCATTAAAGCACAGCCTAAGCAAAACTGCACTGCATTATTTATGGCAAGCAAGCAATTCGTGACAAGAAATAGGCCAGGCTGCTGTACCTGTCCTGCACACACCCATCTGCCCATCGCAGGCTGCCCGCTGAAGGGTTTTACAGACAGCGATACCGTGCCACGCGCAGACCCACGGAAAATAAATAAACCCTCTTCTTTTCCCAGTGGTATCATCTCGCAAAGGGACCAAATTGAAGAACTGGAGAAAGAGGCCAGCAGCAGCAGCCCTGGCCCCAGCAAGGACAGTCAAGAGAAGACAATCATCAAACGGCTGTACGTTTGTCTGCAACTTTTTAGGCAGAATATGGCACGCTTCGTACTTGGTGAATCCAGGGATGAATTCTGAACTTTGGCCTGGTTGGCTGAATATTGTTTTCTCCTTCTCCCCCTGTAAAATTAAAACCCGACAGAGAAATCCTTGCCTGTGGAAAAAGCACTCCACAGGAAGACAACCCCCCCACCCAGGCAAACAGGGCGTCACTTTTTTCTAGGAGAAATAAGCATTTCAGAGCAAACCGACACAATAGTGGCCGTCCCTGCTAGCGCGTTAAGGCTCTGCCGTGGGAACACGCCGGCTGTCCCTGGAGGTTTGCTTACATTGTGCAAAGCAGCTGTATGCAGTACCCACAAGCACAGGCTGCATCCCTGAAGTTCCCCAAAATAGCAACCACCACACTGACACACTGCATGTTCCTTCTTTCCAGTTGTACATGGTTTCCTTTTTGTTGTCTTTTTTTAGGTTCTCTTTTAAACATGGAAAATGAGCATCCTTGAGAACTTAACCACTTCTGGTCAGACCTGGCACTGAGGAGAGCCTCTGAGGCAGCGGGAAGTCAACGACCAAGAAAAAGCATCACTCCTCACGCAGAGGATAAGCAATCTCATAGAAATCATGTTGTATAATATTCCTTCAGAATAGATTTTACTTTGCTGTTTAAGAAACCGGTTAAAGACATGACGTTTTTTGTATTTCTTAAGATTCTGGGCAGACATTACCCACACATAGAGAATAAATGTTTATACAAAGGTGATTTTTATTCTTATTAAGAGCCTGTGATGATTGGTACTACCATTTATTTATCCTGTCCACCTATCAAAATGCTCAGCCCAAATGATTCTGCAAGAAAAGCCATTCTTAAGAGCCACGTGCCATTCACAAGCACAGTCATACCCAAGTGCTGGGAGGGGAGAGCCCACTCAGATCACAGTCCCCGCTGCGCTTGTGCAGAAAGCGGGGATCCTGCACTAACACAGAACCGCTCGAAGAAAAGCCCAGCACTGCTTTTTGTACTGGCTTTCTTTGCATTAGGTGGGTGAGACACAGGCAGCAGCAAGCAGAAGCCTGTCCCACCAAAGGGCGACCCAGTTAAGCTGTGACAACAGAAGCCCTGTGCATGCAGGAGGAGCATTTGGGTCAAGATGAAAGATGGTGAAGAGCACAGCAGGGGAAGAAAAGCTGCCGCATCGTGCTCTGCCCACGTGCAGGACTAATGTCTTCTTAGAGGTGCAGACGTGCTCAAACTAGCGCAGATGCACCAAACATTCCAGTTCTGACAGCTAAAGGTCTCCTGTGGCAGACAGTTGCATTTTTCATAAGCTCTGTTCTTTCAGTCAACTGCCACAAGCTGTGTATTAGCCCAAGTAATGAGATTTATCACCAGCAGAAGCATACAGGGCAAACAGAGGAGTACAAAAGCAGCTTGAAAGATACCAATTAGGTTCCACATTTAAAAAAGTAGAATTTCCAGAGCAGAAAAGTCTGAACAGACATAAAAGGACCAGTGACAGGTGTCAAACTATCATCTTACTCCCCAGAAGCGAAAGCAGGCTCTGCAATCTTTTGATTCCCTCTCATGCGCTAGCAGCATGAAAAATCCAGGACACGTCATGCATCTGCTCAGAGGTGCAATGCGAACGCGGCTGTGCCGAAGGTAGAACTGCACTCTGCTTTCAGAGAACGTGAGCAATGCACCAGCAAAGGTGTCAGACCTATGCAAGCTGGTTTAGCCAGGGCACAGAACTGCTCATTTTGCCATCTTCAAAACATCAGTAAGCCTTGGCATGCTGCTGCGATGTATTTTCTAGAGCATGGTGGCAGGGAAGGAAGTTACTGCATTTCCTTAGAGGAGGGTTTGTGTTTAAAAAAACAAATACATAGTCGTGCATCAGCAGCAGCCAGGATCCACCTCTGAGCTGCAGAGATGTGTATGTGTGCCCTGAACTCCATCTTCTGGGGTTTATCCAGGGATGTATTTCCCAACCTCCTTTAACAAGGGAAAGGAGGAGGAATTATGCCCCCAAACACACTGATCACTCTACTAAGTCTTAATGAAACAGCTGCAGGTAATAAAGTGCACAGATTAACAGAGCTGGGCAAAAGCAGCAGCCTGCCACAGAGCAGGAGACAGGCGCAGCCCTGGGCCACTCATTGCAGTTCACTGAAGGAGGCAGTAATGAAAGCTGCGATTATTCTTTCCAGTTTACCATTTAGGATGTCGTTTATTAAAAAAAAAAAAAAAAAGAGAGAGAAAAAAAAGAGGTGTGTCATCACCAGGTGAAGGAGATGGGAGAGCACCTCAGCCTTTCGGGGCTAGTCTCTTCCTGGAACCACCACAGTTGGCACCTGCTCTGGTGCCAAGGGAGCTGCACAGCTCCTCTCAAAAGCAGAGCGAGCTCCATGGCTGCAGCTAACCATGGCTGCAGCCCTGTTAGAGCAACCTGCTGCCCCAGCAAAGCCACACCAGCCTGGCAAAGGCAGTTTAGCTCCCAACCCCAGGGGCATCTCTTCCTCGTGACAGAAGAAACCTCCCTATAAGGCACAGGGCTAAGAATTCAAATGGCACCTTCCTGTGGAAAGTATTCTGACAGAGAGATTATATACACAGTCAGTTCCTAGGAAAGCAAAGGATCCATACTAAGTGCAACATCAGCTTTATTACCATCTCCCAATGCAGTGCTACTTGGTTACCAGTGAAGCGTTCCAAAGACAATTTTTTTAAATGCAAAAAAACCAGGGAGAGATCTTCCCCCTTTCTTTACAAAAGTGATCAGAGGTTTTAAGCTATTTGACCTCATAGAGAACAAGCAGATGTTTAAATAAAAAAAAAAAGAAAAAGGGATTTTATTCCAATTTTGACTTAAGGGAAGTGTTCTAGTAAACCAGGATACTGTACACTGCTGTAGTCTCTGTTACCGAGACCAGAGAAAGATCAGTGCCGGCTTGAACGAGCCAGCCAACACAGCTTACCTGTAGCTCAGTACATGAAAGGTAACAGGTCTCCAGTTCATTCTTCAGAAATGGTGAAAATACACAAGCTGTCTCTAATGAGCTTGCCTGGTGTTAAGTAGTAAATAATATAAAGCATTTAATGGCTAATGATTTTCACAGCTTTCTTCCAAAATGCTAAAGATCTACAATGGAGACAGGTACTATAGCAGCCACTTCATCAATAATAAATATATTCTTTATTTTACAGAGACATTGTCTTCAAGTTTTTAATTTAAAAAATACATCACTAAGCCACCTCTCTTGCTGCTGGAGCGTACAACCAGGATGTTGTTGCTATTTGACCTATCACATAGGCAAGCACATACGATTGTCCTAGAGGGCGTTAGCTGGAACAGCAGCAGCCTTCAAGACATGAGGAACAGGAGATGCTAACAGAGCCACAGATCCCTTGCTGACGTCTTCCAGCAGCAAGCGTGGCTGATGGCTCACAGCCATTTTCATCTACACACATGCCAAGCCTGCCTTGGCAAAAATTCCAACTGGTAAGAATTCATCTTTAACATAAAGGACCTGCATTGTATTGCCCGCCTATATCACAGATTTGGTTCTCCAACAGTAACAAACATCCGCAAGATGCTAAGCGCTCAACTCCCATTTAAGACAGTGGGACCAGACCATGCTGGACAGACCTACAGGACCAGGCAATAAGGAATCTACTTTCTTCATTGCATGAACTCCATCATTACAGTCTGAAGCTGCATATGAAGATGACTCCTATTTTTGGAACTGCTATGCTCTACTTCAAGCATTCACAGTAAATAAATAGCTTCTCATGTGGCTAATTAGCATAGGAAGGTTATACAAAAATTTGAGAGCTTTTTCTTTTCCTTCTTTAAAATCCTTTGGGAGACACCTCCAAGAATCAGTCACCAACTACAAAAAAGGTACCATCATCTTCATTTCTAGAAAAAAAGTCACGTCAAACATTGATTCTCACTGTTCTATCTCCACATTCCTGATCATTATCAAACCAGTCTATCAAAATCCATCCTCATTTGGCTCGGAGTCATTTCTCTGGAGAAAGTAGCCAATTTGACCCTTTCCCTCAGCACCAGTGCATCTGAAGTTCACTGCCAACATGAGATACAACACAGGAAAAAATAGATCGCTACTACAAATTATTTGAGGAGGATAGTAGCATCCATCTCAGAGAACCCCGTCAGCACTGGGCTGTAAAAAGCAGTGTGACGAGCAGTCAAGCCATCGGATGTAGGAGTCGTAGTACAGAAGTACATCTGCGGTCATAAAGCTAATGCCAAGTTCATCACCCCACGAAGTGGAGCATGAGATTTCACTGCAAAAGCAGAATCACAGCCCACGTGATTGAGTTTCTGTGGAAGTCTTGGACTACATGCTCAAGTGGCACTGGTCACTACGCAGAAGTATTCAAATTCTAGGGAAGGTTTCCTTTTATGATAGAAAAGTTTTGGCAATCTAAAATCAATTATTCAAGCCTGCCTGGAAAACTGTATTAGGCATTTAAATACTGCAAAGCAAAAGGTAGTTTTTAAGGAGCTCAGAACACCATAAGCAGTCCACTAAGAAAGCTTAGGGAAGTGAGGACAGGGAGGGGGAAAAAAGAAAAAAAAAAATCCACTGATTCCTTGTAGAGCACTCAGTCCAAAAGAAAAAAACCCAAAAGAAGATGAATTAGTGTTTCAGCCACGGATGAGCTGCAATGGAAGCTTTGCTTCTGTCTCCATAGTCATACAACAGTTCTTCACCTGCTTTAATGTCTCTGGAAGCTATCAGTATGAGATGAGGCACACCGTCAATGTCATGAAGCTTTGTTTGACAATTGCCACATTTGCTGTGATTAATTAGTCTTCCCAGACGATTAGTTTCTTTTGTAGCATCAACACTGAAAGAACAAGAACAGAATGCAGGATTGCTGCGTATCACGCAATTGGGTTGTGGACAAGAACCACAGCGCAAATCGGGTAAGGAACAAGGAATCCACACAAGGCTTGAAAAATGAAGGAAAAAAACCAGAACATTACAGAATATTCACATGATTAAACCGACAGCCCATAATATGGCGACATAGGTAAACTAAAGCAATTCTGGGAGATGTTTAAGTTACCACAAACACCAGAAAACAGGAAACTTTGGACTGTGTTTTGACCTGCTCGTTTCCGAGCAGCTCTCAACCATCACGAAGAATAGCAGAATCCAGATGTAGACCACCACCGGAAAGGCTTGATACCTTAAACACCTTTCCCTCAGGAAGTGGTGTCCGAGCTAAGCATCACCCGCTGCGTAGGGCAGCAAAACTCTCTACTTGCATGGAAAGCTGAGAATGCCTAAAGACTACATGCTCAGCTTCCAGAGACCTGGATACTGAAGCTCCAGTGCCCCTCGCTGCACACAGAATTGTTACGGCAGCTATCACTGTGGCGTCTGGACTGCAAGGCAGGCACTTTGAGGTAATTGATACACAGGTGACGTGACCACACGCCAGTACCCAGCAATGGC